TCCTTCCATGGCCACGTCCTTCCATGGCCATGGCCCTCCATGGCCACATCCATCCATGGTCCCCTTCCCTCGTGTCCCCATCCCTCCATGGCCACGGCCCTCATGTCCCTGGCCCTCACGTCCTCATCCCTCCATGGCCACGTCCTTCCATGGTCATGGCCCTCATGTCCCTGGCCCTCATGTCCTCATCCCTCCATGGCCACATCCCTCCATGGCCACGTCCCTTGTGTCCCCATCCTTCCATGGCCACGTCCTTCCATGGCCACATCCCTTGTGTCCCCATCCCTCCATGGCCATGGCCCTCATGTCCCTGTCCCTCACGTCTCCATCCCTCCATGGCCACATCCCTCCATGGCCATGGCCCTCATGTCCCTGTCCCTCACGTCCTCATCCCTCAGTTCCCTGTCCCTTGTGTCCCCATCCATCTATGGCCACATGCCCCCGTGTCCACGTCCCTCATGCTCTCATCCCTCGTGTCCCCATCCCTCCAAGGCCACATCCATCCATGGCCCCTTCCCTCATGTCCCCATCCCTCCATGGCCACAGCCCTCATGTCCCTGTCCCTCACGTCCTCATCCCTCAGTTCCCTGTCCCTTGTCATGGCCCTCATGGCCCTGTCCCTCACGTCTTCATCCCTCCATGGCCACATCCCTCCATGGCCATGGCCCTCATGTCCCTGTCCCTCACGTCCTCATCCCTCCATGGCCACGGCCCTCCATGGCCATGTCCCTTGTGTCCCCATCCTTCCATAGCCACGTCCTTCCATGGCCATGTCCCTTGTGTCCCCATCCCCCTATGGCCCTGTCCCTCATGCTCTCACCTCTCATGTCTCTGTCCCTTGTGTTCCCATCCCTCGTGTCCCCATTCCTCCGTGGCCACGTCCCTCAGGTCCCCATCCCTCCCTGTCCCTGTCCCTCATGGCCACGTCTCTTGTGTCTCCATCCCTCCATGGCCACATCCCTCACATCCCCGCCCCTCCATGGCCCTGTCCCTCGTGTCCCTGTCCCTCCATAGCCAAGTCCCTCCATGGCCCCATCCCTCATGTCCCCATTCCTCCATGGCCACATCCCTCCATGTCCCCATCCCTCACGTCCCCCCGTGTCCCCCAGCCACATCCAGGTGCGGGCGGGGGTGCACAGCCTGGCCATGCCATCTGGGTGGGAGCAGTACGCCGTGGCCGTGGACATCGTGGTGCACCCGGGCTTCAGCACCCAGGAGGGCGCCAGCACCTACAGCGACGACCTCATGCTGCTGCGCATCGAGCCCCCGCTGAACTTCACCCCCTACGTCCAGCCCCTGGCCCTGCCCCAGGCGTCCCCGGCCACCGGCACCAACTGCACCGTCATGGGCTGGGGCACCACCACCAGCCCCGAGGGTACGGTGGGCCCCAGGCACCCAGGGGATTGGGGATGGACCGCCCACTACGTAGCGTTGGGTGGAGGCATCTTGGCAGGGAAGGGACCCAGGTGTCCAGGGGATGGACCTCTCCGTTCATGGAGTTGGGTGGAGACATCTCGGCAGGGAAGGGACCCAGGTGTCCAAGGGATTGGGGATGGACCACCCGCTACGTAGCATTGGGTGGAGACATCTCGGCAGGGAAGGGACCCAGGCGTCCAGGGCCCGGATCCCTGGACCTGGCTGGACACGTCTTGTCGTCCCCACCACCACCACCACCGCAGAGTCCTACCCCAACACCCCTCAGTGCGTGAACGTCTCCGTGGTGGCCGACGCCGAGTGCCAGGCCATCTACACTGGCAAAGTCACCGAGGACATGCTCTGCGCCGGCGTGGCCCAGGGGGGCAAGGACTCCTGCCAGGTACCGTGGTCCCCTGAGGGCCATGTCCCACAGCCACGTCCTCATGGCCCATGGCCATGTCTCTTCAGTTCCCCTCCTCGTCCCTCAAGCTTTGAGATGTAGCTACGTCCCCATGGTCCATCACCACGTCCCCATGTCCCTTGGCCATGTTCCCATGTCCCATTGCCACATCCCCACGGCCACGTTCCTTCAGTCCCCTTTGTTCCATGGGCTTTCAGATGTAGGTATGTCCCCATGTCCCCCTCATCCCACGGGCTTTGAGGTGTAGGTACGTCCCCATGGCCCAACACCACGTCCCCATGCCCCACAGCCAGGTCCCCATGGCCACATCTCTTCGGTTCCCCTTGTCCCATGGGGTTTGAGATGTAGCTACGGCCCCATGGCCCATCACCTCGTCCCCATGGCCCACAGCCACGGCTCGTTGGTCTCCCTT